AGATTTTTCTTCCTCATGCTTCTCAACTAGAAGGATGAAAGAAGACAAGAAATTTTACTTTTTCTAGTTATTAATTTCAGGGGCAAACTTCCTGTAGACTATTCATAGTGATACCATTAATGAAATGAAAGAAATTCTAAAAGTAAAGCATTAACTTGACCTGCATTTAATGTTCATTTTCAAGATTGTTTTCACTTATGAGACTTCATTATAAACTCATACCTCTGTTTTCAAGGAGCAGCAGCTTCATGTGCAACTCATCAACCACCGTCATCGGCGAAAAAGATACATCCACAGCCAATGGATTCCTACACATTTCTCTCTCGAGAACATCGATACATAGCCGGTCTTCATTAGATTCCTGCCCTCGGTCTGTTGTCTTGTTATAATCCTTTGGCCTTGTCAGCCTCCGGCATATGGTGACAGCTGTCTGTCCATCCCTTGTAGTATCCAAAACGGAAGCACCCTGGTCCAGCAACCTGATTAATACTAACGGATCCTTGCGTCTTGCGGCAATATGAAGCACGGTATATCCTCGAGAATTCCTAAGGTTTACATTGGCGTTCTGCAGGTTCAGCAGCTCATTTACAACCTTAGGGTTGCAATAAGCAGCAGCATAGTGAAGAGCAGAAGCAGCATCCAAAGATATATTAGATTCACGGAGAAGTAACTTCACCAATTCAACATCATCCAAGTCCAATGCCTTGTGAATGCTTCTAATCCTCTTTGTTTTCACATGATCCACTTCCACTGAATCAAGTTCATCGTCTTGCTTAGATTTATTGCGAAGCGAATTGACGTCGCTCAAAACCTCATAAGGAAGCTGCTTCTCAAAAATAACATCATCAATTTTTGACTGTACTATTATCTGGACACAGTGCGAAAGAAGTGTCTTCAACTTGCAATGAAATGCTACCATAAGGATTGGAATTATATCATCCATAGAGACTTTACCAACAAAGTTAAGGAGTCGACGCTGCATGGTCAAGATAGAAGTCATGGATAAATACGAGATATTGTCATCTACGTTTTAGTTATGAAAAGAATTCATACCAAACATTGCCATATAGACGGGCAGGTACTATAATCAGTACTATTTTAATCCTCCCTACCAAACATTGCCATATGGATGAATCACTAGTGAAGGACATGATTTCATTTAGGGTCCAAGTTATTTTAGTTACTCCATGCAACCTGAATAGAAAGATGTGGGCTAGTTTGTCAAGAGACACATTTGCGTTCGACATGAGTTGAAAAGATCGAGTAGTCTTTCATTTAGAGATATCACATCACAAAAACTATTTGTTGAGTATCCCAAACTCAACGATGGCAAGGTTACAACATCAAATAGTTCCTAAAAAGGTAGCATAGTCTCATTTCTTTTTACAAAGATTCAAAAGTTAATCATTACTCCTAGGTAAAAAAAGAAAGATAGCTGTATTTGCTGAAGATCAAAGCCTAAAATCAACATTAGAACTGACCTGAACAAGCATAACGAGCTCTTTAATCTGAAACGTGGCAGAAGCATACATCATTTCAACAGCATAATTCACAGCAGGGCCACAAGCATCATGCACACAAGATTCATCAACACACGTTGAAACCTCAGGCTGAGATGGCATGACTTTTCCAGTATACAGATAGTTTAGGACAACCATAAATGCTTCATATCCTATTCTCCAATGAGGCACCAATTCTGACATGAGATATTTTGGCTTACCTTCTTTAACAGAACTACCATGCCCTTTCTTAAATAGCTCGTGAAAGAATTCACTACGTGCAGCCAAGATACAGCGATTGACACCCACAGGAATTCTCTCGACTTCTATCTCTGCATCGCTGTAGTCATATTCGGCATCAAGCAAGAGTATTTCGAGGCTGGCACTAAGTCTGTTTAAACTCAATAAATCGAGACTTATAGATGGTTCAAGGCCAGCAGTTGAAAAATCAGAAGACGATGCAAAACTCAAGGACGAAGAGAACTCATTCCCATTTTCCATAGTTAACAGCTTATTAGTTCCTCACATACCACTCAAGGTACATCTATTTGCCGACGTTATACAAGGTAGGATTTATTAATTATAATTTTTGCACGAAACAAATAATTAATCCACAACATCCAAGCACAAATCTTCCATTCTAAAGCAAATTACGCCATGAACATATATCTGCTAAAAGTTCAAACCCTATAACGATCACTTCCTCACAAGACAATGAATACTTCAAGAAATTTCAGTACCTGAAATGTTCAAATCATAGTTAATTTTAACTTTTTATGACTGACCCAGATCTTAAAATCCTTAGAGAAACACCAATGATGTCTGTATTCACCAGTTTGGACCCCCAGCATAGTCTGATTCTGTAGCTCTGGAAGATAGATCTCGTTGCTGTTTCGATGGCATAGGATAACTCAGCTCATGCTCATGATCTCAGCCAATAAGCAATCAGCAATGAACAATTTACCAAAAAATACTTATTCAGCCTGTATAAATTAACCCAAAACTTAAATTAGTAATTGCATAAACTGTTTGAGAAAATTAAGAAAGTAAAATTGTTACGGAT